GGTGGGCCCTGGCCAGCAAGATCTGCCCTCTCCTCCCACCCTACTCATTCCTTTTCCTCCTCAAATAGGTCATCTGTTCCTCTACCTGTGTCACCTCTGTGCTTCCCAGGCAGAAGTCTACACTGTGAAATCCAGGGGACATAGGTACTGTCTAGAGACCGACAGACTGGTGGACTTTATAGGAGTTCGCACATTTGCTTAGAAAAAGTTAATCCAGCATGCTTTGGTATTGGCCCAAGAACACTGGTGTGAGGAGACCTGGGTCCCAGAGTGACTTACTGCTCTTAACAATCCCCTAAGAGCTGTTCCTTGGTGCCCACCTTAAAGAGCTGAGAACCTCTAAGACTTCCAACAAGAATTGGGGTGAGGGGGTCTAAAGGAAGATTCCTTGGGGTCTTTGGGGACGTGTCAAGTCCTCTCACTCATCATGGGTCCAGTGTAATGCCAGCAGGCGGACAGACTGCAGGGTCCTGGAAGCAGCTGGAAGCACTGCGGGTCAGGGGATGGCAGTGGAGGGTGCAGGGAAGAGCTGGCCCTTTAGGGGCCTCATCCTGCCCTGGGGCTGGAAGGGGCCCTGCAGAGGCCACCCCTCTCCACTCTTCAGCCAGAACTATGCTTCCATTTCCTGAGAAAGTTCCCTGAATTTTATTAAACATCTCAGGGAGAGAGGGACCATCTAGGATCTCAGGCATCCGTCTGAAAATTCTCCATAGTGATAAAAAAATTCACTTTATTGGATTTGAAAACTATACAGTGTAGTGCTGTTTTCAAAAGGGCCCTCATGTTTTAAGACCTATTAATGCAGCAGACCCGACTACTCTGGGAGAAAATGCTCTTTCAAATGCAGCAGGAAGGCGGGAAGAGGCCCCACCGGGGTGTGGAGGAAGGCAGCGGCTGACAGCGGAATCAAGCTTGTCCACCCTCCTCTCCTACCTCCCCTCGTCCTGCCAGTGCCAGCCAGAAGTGGAGGAGTGGATGGATGGCATAACTCCTACCAGAATGTTTCGAGGAATCAAAGGATGTCCGACTCCTTCAAGTGAATTCTCCATCCACATGGATGGGGGCACCTGGCACCCCAGTTCAGACATGGACTGTGTCTCTGAGTCCCGAGGGTCAATTGAGGCTCTGGAAGAGCCCATGGTCTGAGGAACCCTCCTGCCCAGTAACCTGAGCTGGCACCCACTTCTCCAGGGAAACTTGGCACCCAGCTTGGCCCTAGCAGAGAAGAAACCGAAACTGGGTGGTGTGCAGGGAGCAGACCACCCTTATTACTGGTTCCAGGCGGTGGGGGGATTCTGGTCCCGGGGTGATGGGCACTCACCAACCAGGGATCCTGCAGCTGCAGCCAGGATGGTCAGTAGTGTCCTCATTGGGGCCGGGCACAGAGCCCTCTTTTGGCCTCCGCTCTGGGCTGAGCACAGAGGGAAAGCTGGGAAGCTTGGCTGCCTTGGCAGCTGGCTCCACCCTAGTGGGCGGGGAAAGAGGGGAGCCGGGTACAAAGGTGCCCAGCCTCCTTCGGAATTCCAGGTCCTGGGCGGGGTCCAGGGGAGTTCCCTTCCTAGCTGCCGGACAGCAACAGTGACAGGCTGGCCTGTTTATCTGGTCTGGTGGCTGATTCATCCCAAGACTCTTTAGTGGTTTCTCAGAGAGCTGAGGGGCAGAAAAGGTGAAAATAACCCAGGGCGAAAAGCTTTATCAGAACAGTTTGGCACAGGGCACCAGAAGCCTGCAGCACACGTCCGCCGTCTGTCCCAGTGATTCTGTTCTCAGGGATTGTCCCTGAGGCAACTAACTGGAGCAGTCAAAGAAGCAGAAAATATGTTCTAGAATTTTCCGGTGTCAAAGGCGAAGCTGTGAGTCCTTCACTTTTTTTTGGCAGGAGGAGGTGTACGAAGTCTGTGGCCGCTCCTTGGGCCCCATGTCAAAGCAGGTCCCCAAGCTGGACGATAGGCTTGAGGGTAGACTCCCCTCATAGAGAGGCTGATGGGGGTGGGAAGCCCAGGTACTCTTCCCTTGAGTCTTTGGGGTCTGGGGCCTGTAAAGGGCAAGGAAAAAACAGTGTAAACTTCAGCAACTCTACTGTGCCAGAGATGGGAGCAAAAATTCATGAATGAGCCTCTGGTTTGAGACACTGAAGATTCAAACTGCTCAGTCAAGCTGTCATCTGCCATCTAGAGCTGTGTACATACAGATTACTATGAGATTCAATGGGGTTCAAGTTTAGGAAATGATTTCTTTCTGCTCCCTGGGCCTCAGAGAAGACTGAAGGGGTGGACATGGTCAGAGCTCCGAGTTCCTAGGAGAGTTTGGCTGGTCCTAGTCAGACAAGAGCAGGCTGAGGCCTACGGCAGGAGAGCTGGTTCCCGAGGGAGGCTATGAAGGGTTTGGCTTTTGATGCAGTAGGCTGTGATATCTGGGAATCTATATTTAAGATTTTCTTTTCTGTGTTGCAATAGTTTACTATTATCCCTGAGTCTTTGATAAAGTTTGTTTGAAGCTGAATTTGAGCTGTGCTTTAAAGGAATTAAAATATGGCTCATGCTAGTCCTTTATTGTAATTTCAGGAAACTACGTTTCTTACATTTCCCTTATTTACTGCTTTCTGATAGACTCAACCAATGGGAGGCACTGGAGGAAACTGGAGAACTGGAGGAGAGAAGGCACGGCATCTCTCCCCTTCTTTCTCTGTTTTGAGCAGCAGCCCCAGCAATGGCTGTGTCTCCTCTGAGCTGCAGTTCCCTCCGGCCAGGCAGCCGCCACCATCACTCTGTCGGGTGCCAGCTCCTGGGCTTTGGTATCACCCCAATTTTTCCCTTTAGCTCAGAGGATGGAACAGCTCCTGCTGTGGGGAATCTCTGGGCTGGTTCCCAGGCCCTGACTGAATTCTCAGCTCTTCCATCACCTGGGTAACCGACTCCCTTGTATTAAAGCCTCTTGGTTTGAAACACTCAGGAGGCTTCATATTCCTGAAGGGCCATGATGGATGCAGGGCCTTTGATGATTTTGCAGACAAGGTGGAGGGGAGATCATGGTTGTAGAAACAGGTCACAAAATGCCAAGAAGGGCCCATAGGGAGAGGAGCAGTCACTGGAGCAATCTTGGCTGGCTGGCTGGGGACAAGCTGTGGCTCCAGCAGACGGGCGGGGGGTGGGGGGCTTCCTTGGGGACTCCTGGCAGCACCTGCCGGAAGGAACCTGGTGGAAGAACTAGGCTCCCGAGAGTTATGAGGGACTATGGTTATATAGGAATTAAGGTGAAGGAAGACACTTGGACTGTTAATGAACTGGGGAACATCCAGACTTCATTTCTGAAAGTAGAAAGAAAAAAAAATATATATATATATATATAGAGAGAGAGAGAGAGAGAGAATGGGGATAGCTTCATGTAACAGTAGGGGTTTGGTTTAATAGAATAATGGTTTGTCTGCCCCGTGGAAGACAAGTGCAGTCTTCCAAAAATGTTGTAGCAAAATGTTTTGTAGGCTGGTAAAGATTCACCATATTTCATTAAGTGAAAAGAAGCATGGCCTAAACTATGGTGAGTGCAAACCTGGTTAAAACACATAGAGAAAAAGTCTTGAAGGATATATGAAAACATTAATGGAGTGAAGTGATCTGTGGGTGGCATTAGGATTACAGGGGGTTTTTGTTTTCTTACCTTTGCTCATCTGCATTTTCTAGAGTTTTTATAGGATAATTTTAAATTATGTATATCCTTATAAAATACAGGAATATTATTATTATTATTATTAAATAACATAAAATATTATTTTATATTCAGGAAAAGCAAGGGTACTTGCAAAACAAGTGGGCATTAAAGACGTGTCTTGGTCTGGGCCATACCCACTCCTGAAATGCCATTACCTCTCCCTTAGCCAAACTCCCTCTTCTTCAAGGCCATCTGGAATGTCTGTCTCCTCCTGCGGGCTGACTGTGACACCAGCTCCAGCCCACCGAGGTCTCACTTATAAAAACCCTTCTAGAGCTCTGGTGTGCTGTGCATTTGGCACATTATTCTCCTGTTTGAGATGCGAAAGTAGAGACTCAGGTGAGGCAGAGGTGAGATGCCAGCAGCATCTTTAATACGGGAGGGGCTGTTGCATGGAGAAGGGTGGAGCCCCCCTTTGTGTATAGGAAAACCAGGTGGGTAGGAGGGGACATGTTAAGGAGGCAAATTTCTTTTGATTTAAGAAAATAGCTCTTGCCATGATGGTGTGATTGACTAGGATGGGCTGCTCTTGGTTGCTGGGAGGGCTGTGACCACTGATAAATGTTCCCTTGATAACCTCGTTCGATGTTCTCTAAAATTCAATGGTTCTTGTCTCCCCAGTGAGGAAGAAAATGTCCTGAGTGCAAAGAGCACCCCTTGTATTTCTCTGTTCCCTCCACGTGGCTGAATATAGAGCAACTATCCAACACTGGCTTACAGAATTGGCCTGTATGGCAGCAGATTCACCCTAGTGATTCTCTCTGACTCAGACTGCCAGGAACATGCCTTTGTTTTCTCGCTGGTAAATTTCCCCAGTGCACTTTGCTTTCTCTTGCCTCTGAGTCTTTGTCCAGCTGTACCTGCTGCCTGGAACACCTTTCCAATCCCCTTTCTTCCTAATTCTTGTTCATTCTTCAGATCTCTTCTCAAATTCACTTCCACCAGGAAGCCTTCTGTATGTGAGTCACTCAAGGACTGGGTTAGGGGCCCCAGCTCTGTGCTCCTGTGCCCCTTCAATCACCCCCCATCCCAGTGCATATGGCAACATGTTATTAGTTTCCCCTGCTGCTTCCTATGGGGACAAAGTGTGTAACTTGCTCTCCTTGATAGCTCAGCGTCCACCATGAGCTGGCATGGAACAAGTACCTAGTAATGTTTTCTGAATGAATGAGTGTGCTGGGCGGAGCTGGCTTCTACTGACTGTAGAACATCCCTAAGCTGTAGAAAAATCATATCCTCAAACGACAAATATGAGTGTGACCTGCTCCTGTCCCTTCTTTCAACACACACAGATGCCGGAACCTGTTTTGCAGAAGCAAGAACTTCAAAAGGCAGTGAGCTGTGCTCTGAAGGAGGGCAAGTGCTATGTCCATGGTTGGTGACACAGCAGTGACAGAGCCAGAAGGGGGCTCCTGATCATTCATGGACCAGAGGAGCAAGAAACAAAGCTTTGGCAACCCACCCCAGGGCCTCTTGTTACAGAAAAGCCTGACAATCAGAGTCGTGTTTGAGTCCATCTGGCTCCAAGCCTGGGCTGTATCAACCAGGGACACTGACTTAAATGTCCCAGGTGTGGAGCCTGGGTCTGGTCCCAACCTTGCACCTAACTCCAGGTGACCTTGACCGATCCCTTCTCTGGGCCTCTGTTTCTCTGTCTGTAGAGGAGGCAGAGTAAAGAAGACCTTAAGGGCCCTTGGAGCTTGAACGGCCCCCTGATTCTGTGTCAATTTGGGGTTAGAAACCCCCTGACATCCCAGAATTCCTTTCATGGCTACCGTCAGTGAAGAAGCACAAATTCAGCTCCGTGTTTATTGACTCGGCTTATAACTTCGGCTCCCTTTCAGGGTAAGGAGCTCCTGAAGCTTATGGCATGCTTATATGACCAATGCTTCTTCATAGAACATTAAAGATCCTGCGTCTCATGCTGGGATTGGGGGAACAGTTTCACATGCACCCTGGAAGCCAGGAAGCAAACAGAATATGGGCTTTTGGCAGGCTGCCCCGGGTTGGAATCCTAGCTCTGCCACTTTCCCACAGTGTGCTTGTCTCTTAATCACTTACCGCAGCTTTCTCTCTTAACAGCTAGATGAGCGGTGAGGAGCCTTTGACAAATAACCCCCTTAGGAGGACAGATAACAGTCTCTGCTCCTCGGGGTTGCTAGGAGGATTAACAAAGCTGGTATCTCTGGACAGTTTCTGAGCAGGAAGAGTCTCATGCAGCTAGTGTCCTCTGTTACAAAATAAGGAACCAAGGACCAAGAGAGGTCCCTTAAAACCCTTTGCAAAAACCTGGACTCCTGGGTGTGTAGGCTTGGGGATTGTGGGATGGAGCCATGTGGGCAGCGAAAAATATTCCCTTAAAAGTCTGAGTGGCTGATAGTTTCTGAGGCCAATTCCAGGGATGGGGGAAGTGAGTGCATTGCAACCTACAGGTTAGACCATGTGGTGGGATTAGAGTTATTTAGAGGGGGGACATTCCATGAAAGGGCCTGGAACTCTAAAGATGGGAGTTGGGGTGGGGGGATTCTGAGCTCCTGTTGGAATCTGGCTTCCAAGACGACCATACCATGCCCAGAGAAGCCGAGGCTTAGAGTAGGGTGGGACATGCCCTGCAAGAATGAATGGGACTCACCCTGCAGGCATTGGGACCTGAAGAGGTGCCCCCACCTGCTGACGGCTTGCATACCAGGGCAGTGACCTCCGAGGCGTTCTTACCTTGGGATCTCCACTTCTCCTCCTAACCCACTTAGAGAGGCTGTAAGGAGGAGAAAAGACTCTTGATGGTTTATAAAAAGCTGTCACCCCTCTATCCTGTACCATCGCATGTGGCAGGGCGGGGCTCCCTGGGCTGGAACTGTCCTGGTGCCAACCAAGTATCTCTTCAACAATTGACTCACAGAACTGACTCACCCATTTAGATACAGTAACTTCTGATCTGTTTTTTTTTTTTTTATAACCCCACAACCCTCATCACAATCATCCCACTCTGTGCACACAGGAATGAGCTCAAGGAAGCTGTATGCCAGCAGCCATTCACGGAGCCTAAGTCATTAGGGAGAAAATTAGAGTTCGGGGATGAAGGTGCTGTTTTGCCTCCTACTTCTGCCCCCTCCTCCTCGTTCCACTCACCAAGCAGCAGGGACCCCCTCTGGCAGATGCTGGAGTGGGGGACGGCAGTCATGAGTTTGCAACTTACAGGTAAGGTGACTGGAGATCTTGCGTCAGATGATACCATCCCAGATCCCAAACGACCATGTGGCCCCGGGAGAATCTCTGGAAGCTGGGAGCCCCTCCTCAATAGAGATCTGCTGGAATGAGTTGGGGTTTGCTAGGCCAGCCCCAGAGGATGTTCTGTAACCTTCCATGGACCTTCGTTGCCACAGGGGGAGCTTCCAGGGTGGTGTGCATAGCTCTGGCCTCACTGTAACAGGCAACGTGGGTGTCCTAGCCCACGTCCCCCAACACACACACTCATTTTTCTCACACACTCAGCTTGATAGATTTCAAATGGATGTACCTCTGTGTGGGGCACATCTACCCAGGGCTGATGAGGGCTGGTGGACAAATGCCCCCACTTCTTCCTCTGGCAGGGAACAAATCTGGAGGGTCCCACACTTAACTCCCAAAGCCCCCCAAGGGGGACTGAGCCCCGGTGGCCCAAGCAGTGCCCTGTTTGATTACGTACCTGGACTGACTGCCTTCCCTCCCTGTGTCACTCCCCGCTTCCCCTATGGGTGCCTTCTGGAATCACTGCCTTCACTTTACACTCCCAAATCCCAGGTTCTGGGTCTGCTGCTGGGAACCCAACCCAAGAGCCTTGTAGCCTTAACAGCTAGATGGGTGTGAGGAGCCTTTGACAAACAAGAGCACAGGCATTCCCATTCAATTCTGCCTTTTTCTCTAAAAGTAGAACTTTTTATTTAAAACAGTTTAGGATAGATACCAACAAGCATTAGGAAATTATTTAAATATGGTATAAACAGAGGACTAAATTAGAAATAAATACAAGTACCTAAGAATACTATGTAATCTTTATAATGTTGCTTTAACCTGAGACATCGTCCCTTCCTCACCTTACGTGCTCCAAGCGTGGCCTGGAGCTCATGCTATGCAGTTCCAGGCTGCTGTGTATGGGGAAGGGGCTTTGTAAACAGTGAAGTGCTGAGCACACCTGACACATTATATATGGGTCACAATGCTCTTCCTAATGCTTCCCATGGTTTTTTGTTAATGACTTCATGACTAAAAAGGAGCTGGAATTTAGAATCACTAAACCTATCTCAGACATTAAACACTGAAAAAAAAAATACTTAGAGATAATAAGGCCTAAGACAATAGACATGATAGCTTTTAGTTTTTTGAAATTACCTTCATGAAGCAACTTGCCTGGGTCCTAGAAAAAAACTTCAGCCATGGTCTGGGTATTTTCCTGGGATCCTGCCCTGAGCCACAGCCTTCCCCACTCTGTGGTTTGTGCTTCCTCCTGTGCTCAGTGATGCGGCTGTGAGGTAGAGATGCACATGGGTGCATGCAGGCATGTGAATGCATCCTGGCAGAGGTGAAGGCCTCCAGTCAGCATGGTGCCCCTGGGAAATCCTTGCTAAGACCTTGGCATTTTATTGACATGGCCAAGGCCAGCTAGCCAGAGACCAAAGATGTCACCCTTAGGGATATATATAAGAAGTCAACATTTCAGCATCTTCATTTTAACAAGACAGGTGTTCAATTTAAAAAGTGGTTTGCTAACTTTTTCTTGAAAGTGGAATGCTCTCAGTTCCACCTCCACGGAAGGCCACCTGTGTTAAGTCAGGGCAAAACGAGGCAGCTCTGGCTGACGTGGGGGATCCTATAGCCCACAGCTCCCCCTGCAATTGAGACTTCTCCCACGAAGCCCAAGACCTTTAGGAACATGGTTTGAGAACTCCTGGACCAGATGCCCTCGAAAGCTTTTCCAGACCTTTCATTTAAAGCTATATGCTCATAAGGGCTCCAAAACAACACAGCCTCTGTGGGTGAAGTGGCTACAAAGACTCTTTTTTTTACAAATGCAGAAATCTAAGTCCCAGCACATTAAATGGCAGGTCCCAGGTCTCAGAGCCAAGATTGTTCAGATCCCTGGCCACAACACCATAAAAAAGTTGGTCCCTATGGCTGAAATCTCAGCTATGCTCATCCATATACTGGTAGGTGTAGGTTAACAAAACAATTGTTTGAGAACACGTATCACTACCCCCAGGTAAGACAGTCACCTATTTCCAGAGGACACTGGATTCTGATAGCTGGAAGGAAAATGAGACTTCTTTACAACCACAGTCATCAACAAAAGGGTCTGAGGTGAGGTCTGAAACAGGGTCTACAGGCCCAGGTGTCAGTTCCCTGCTGGGCTGCACTCTACCACCAACAAATCAGACCCCTGGAAAGGTGGGCCATTTGTTTCTTTCTTTGTAGGGAAAAGGGAGAGACCAGGAGCCCCCTTGGTGACTTGTGCCTCTGAGAGCTTAGTTTCCTGACCAGGAGGTGGGGGCAGGAAGGGTGGACGGCAGGAGGTAGACAAGAGGTGAGGCACGCTGATCAAGTGAACACTCCCAGGCGCTCTGAGCTCAGGGGCCCAGAGGTCTCCGGGGAGCCTGGGGGAGGGAGAATCCTCCCAGCCCTCGGGGAGCCTGGGGGAGGGAGAATCCTCCCAGCCCTCGTGTGGACAGTGCCAGTGACGAGCAGGGCACTGAGTACACACATCTCTTTCGGAGCCCTCACCACAGCGCAGTGGTAGCTGCAGATGAGCAAACCGCGGTGGGGAAGGAAGGAGGCTTACCCAGAGTCACTCAGCCAGTGAATGGCAGAGCTGAGATCTGAACCCAGGTCTGTCTGATATTAAAAACCATGCAGTTCCATGACTGAGAGAGTGGGATCTGAACAACAACCACCCTTTCCGTTTCACTCCAACACCCTCTGCTAACAGACAATTTCTACTGCGGCCCACCTTAGGGGCTCATGAATCAGCAGGGTGAGACTCCGGGGAGGAGGCAGCTGGGTGGATGCTGGAGAAAGGGCATGAGACAGACAGCGATGGGCCCCCACATTCCCTCCCCCAAATCGAGATGGCCCCTGTGGCGTCAGTCCTTGAGGCCCACTGTGATTGACCTCACCTGTTTCATGTTGTCCAGGGATGGGATTTCTGACTGGCCTGTCACCCCAGAGACAGTGGGGTGATCTGACACTCAGTCTCTGACCTCAGCCCATCCTTGTCTCTACCACTGTTGGAGCTCAGCCCAAAGCTGAGGCCGTGGGATGGGGTGGCCCCTTACTGCTCAACCCAACTGAGAAACAGCGTCCAGCTGGGGTCCCCCTGCTGCTGCAGTGTGCAGGATGACCTCCCCTGCCAGGTCAGCCCAGGGATGGCCCCCCCAGCTCTCAAGTCTCAGTAGCATCTTGGGTCCTTGGCAAGCTCAGCAGCACCAGACTCGGGGGCAGCTGGGGGAGGCTCACCTGGCCATGTAACAGCCTGGCATCCCACCTCTGACCTCGGTCCTTGGGAGACTCCCGGCCCTGCAGCTGCCAGTGCTGCTATTCTCAATTTCTGATTCCCTCCCACCCTCTTCTTCCTCTTCCTCCTCTTCCTCCGAGCAGCTGTCCCAGAAGATCAGTGTCTGAAGAGAAACCGGGGGCTTCCCAGGGTCCAGATGCAGCTCCCGTGATGAGTCCCAGTTGGTCCAGGAGAAGTCGTCTTTCGGGGGCTCTTTCAGGGAATCCGAGTCCTCAGAGAATTGAGGTAGTGGGAGATGCTCCTGACACCTGTCCCCACCTGGCCCTGGGCCCGGCCCCTTCTTGGCCAAAGAAGCAGAGGACCCAGCCTCGTCCCAGGGGGAGGAGCCCACAGGGCTGGCCCAGCTTCCACCTGAAGAATCCCAAACAGGGGAGCCTCTGACCTGGACCAGAGGAGCCCAGGGCCCCCCTGCCTCAGCATGCCCGGGGAGCCGGTGCACCCGCCGGAGGAAGGGGGGTGGTTCACTGTAGGGCTGGAAGCTGAGGCTGCCGCCCGCATCCGCCTCATCATCCTTCTCCTCAGCACTGCCCTGTGATGCCGCCTGGACGGTGGCTGGGGCCCTGACTCCAGGGCTCAGAGGGACCCTTCTGGTCAGTTCCTTTTGCGGGCAGAGGACCAGGTCATCTGGGGACTCTGGGCCCCTGGGCTGAAAGGTTGCCACGGGGTGTCTGTGTCCAGAAAAGTCCTGATTTGGAAATGGGAGACAAGAACAGAAAATGCAGGCTTTCCTGACGCATGAGTGTACTCATTTGGCTTCCCCTGGAAACAGACCCGATACAAGGGTTCCAATGTAAGTAGTTTCTTTGGGAAATGACCCTAGGAAATGCTATCAAGGGAGTGGGCAAGTTGGATGGCAGTGTGGGGAGCGGCCAATAGAGGGGTGTTATCAGGCAAGCTGGAGCTTCCACCCGCTGGGGATGCAGAGAGACACTGAGTGCATTTGTCTCAGAGCACCATCAGGTGAGAGACAGAAGGGGTGGTGGAGGTGTTAATCCCCTGGCACTTGGCAACCTGCCACGTGGGCACAAGAGGCCCGAGGAAGCCCCAGGAGACGGATGCTGGCTGCTAGAAGTGGAGCTGGTGACTTTCCATGTGATAGGCTTGTGGAGGGATGGGGCCGGGGACAGACTTGACTAACAGAGGTGGTTGCTCAGTGAGTGGGACTTCCCTGCAGCTCCCAGAGCCAAGAACTTAAAAAATACTCATGTGTGGCAGGGCCACTCAGAATCCAGCCTCAGAGTCCCGACGTGACCCAGGTGCCCAATGAGCCTCACCTATAGCCCCCGCCTCCTGTTCCACACCCTCATCTGCACAAGTCTGACCCAGCTGACCTCTCTGGATTCCCCCCTCCACCCAGCTGGCCCCTAGGTTCTAAGAGTGAGCCAGCAGCCGAGTAGGAAATTCCAGAGTCGGCCTGGGTAAGGCTCACCCTCAGTTGAATTGTGAAGTTGTGAATGCTGGGACCCTTCTAAGACATCACCTTTTGGCATACCTCCTCCCCAGCCCCGTCTGTGCATCTCCCCTGAGTCCCAAGGCTGGGGGCTCTGCTCTTGGCACCTGACAAATCCTTAGCAAAGATGAAGCTATTTCACTAAAGGGGCTGAAGGAACCTTTCCCTCCCAGTTATATTTGCTATTTGAAATTAGTGCCAAAGGAGTGAGTTACTAATGGTGGAAATTCAGACACGAAGTTGGGTGATGTTTTGCATTCTGGATGATTTGATATTCTACATGAACTATCTCCAAGTCTGCCCTCACGTCCTTACTCAGCAACCCTCCCCCTCTGTTGCACATCCCCAGATCTGCCATACCAGGGCCCGTGGCGTCTTTGCCCGCTGAAGCCAAGGATTTCCTGTGAAGCTCTTCCAGATCACACGGCCGGTGGCAATGACCAACAGCAGTAGCCCCAGAAGTGGTAGCAGCACCAGGAATGCCCAGCTGGCTCCTCAGGAAGGAAAAATAACAACAACTACAGACACAAGAGTGGCTCCCATCTAGCAACTGCCTGTGTGCAGAGGGCTTCGCGTACGTTATCCAAAGTCATCTTCGTGAGAATAAACCTCTCCTACAGATTGGGCAAACCAAGATTCAGAGAGGTTATGAAAGCTGCCCAAAGACACACAGTGTGTGGTGGAGCTGGGATTCTAATTGAGGGGAGTCTGTCTCTGGACTCATCCTCTTAACCACCATTATTATGAAGATCCTGAGGTCCAGGGGGAAAAGTCCCCACTTCCGTACCACTTTGTACCCACCTGGGGCCTCCAGGAAGAAGCAGGTAGGCTTGGAGAACTCGCTGTATTTAGGGTTCCCAAAGGTGTAGATGGTTCTGGCGCTGAGGCAGTGGTGTCCGCTGGCTGCTGGCTGGAGGGGGATGTGGACTGGCTGGTCATGGGGAGTGACTGGAAATCGGGTCTGTGTGGAGAGAGATGCAGAGGTGAGCAGATTTGCTGTAGGGACTGGTCTGAACAGCCAGGATGGGGTGGGCTTGGCAGGCGGGATACAGCTATGTTCCCCACATATTCTTCTCCTGCATTAAAGTTTGAGCATTAAGGGAGCACTTCCCAACATTATCTGGTTTCTTTTCCATTGAGTCTCAAGGTAGAGGCGTTTGGGTTCAAAAACTCTGCCACTCAGAGTCACTCCTGTGTGCACCCCCAGGGCCTGCTGGTCCACATTTTTGGGGGCAGATTCTCCTCAGGCTTCCTACCCTCAGGGCCTCTCAGTTTATCAGTGGGGGGGGGCATCATTCAGCCATTCACGGACACAAAACTCTGGGGCTTCCCTGTCCAATACAATAGTCACTGCTGAGCCCTTGAAGTGTGGCTGGTCCAAGCTGAGATGTGCATTAAGTATAAAATACACACTGGTTTTCAAAGACTTATTGGAAAAAGAATGTACCATATCACAGATTTTTATATCAATCACACGTTGAAATGATAACATTCTATTGAATGAAATAAAGTACATTTTAAAATAAATTTAGAAGGGACTAGCAGTTACCAAAGGGAAAGGGGATGGGGAGGGCAGGTAGGAAGGAAGGGAGAAGGGGACTAGGGGGTCTTATGATAAGCACACATAATGCAGTGGGGGGCATGGGGAAGGGAGTATATGCACAGAAAAGACAAGTAGTGACTCTATGGCATCTACTACGCTGATGGACAGTGACTGCAATGGTGTATGAGGGGGGGACTTGATAATATGGGTGAATGTAGTAACCACAATATTGCTCATGTGAAACCTTCATAAGAGTGTATATCAATGATACCTTAATTTAAAAAAAAAGAGTAAATTCCCCTGTTTTTTTTACCTGATTGAATGAGGAACATTTAAAATTACCTATGTGGCTCACATTAGATCTCTACTGGACAGTGCTGGTCTAGAATATTTGTGAGGTTCTTGGAGACAGGGACCATGTGGAAAGAAGATCTGTGTCCCTAGAATTCAGAGTGTGGAGGTGGTGGGGAATGAAAAATGAACAGGCATCAGTAAACTATAGTCCCTGTGGGCCAAATCCAGCCTGCCACCTTTTTTTGGAAATAAGAGTTTTATTGGCACACTTAAGGTCAGTGGCTCACAGGTGCAGAGCTGAGTGTGAGCATGTGCAGGGGCAGGATGCCCCCTACTTGGCCTCTCAGGTGGAGAATGGAAGGGGTGGGCCACAGGCCAGCTGCACTGCACAGAGTTGGGGGGCACTGCCAGGAGTGAGGGGTATGTGAGAAAGCTTCCTGGAGGAGGTGTGCAGGGAGTAGGCTCAGGAGGGTGAGGAGCTTGGGGGTTTGGCGGGCCAGTGAGGGAGGGAGCCCAGCCTAGGGGCAGGAAAGGGGCTTCCCACCTTGTTCCCAGTCCCCTCCTTCCAGAAATCCACTTCGTACTTCAGATCCGGTGCAGGCATGCAGAGGGGTAGCTGGTATGTGGCACTGATGCTCAAGATCTCCTCTGTCCGCATGACTACCAGGGCGGGCGGGGCCGGCTCCACTGCAGAGAGAGAGCACACCTGTCAGTGCCCTCTGGGGGCCAGCGTCCCCAGGCAGGCTGCTCCTCACGCAGCACAGAGAGCTTCCCCGGAAGGGGTAAGTGGCATCAGTGTTTGTCTGACACCTACTGGGTGAGAGCCTTACGTCCATGAACCACTGCAGGGGTTCATCCGCTGTCCTGGCCGGACGGCCTTCCTGCCTCCTTCCCACCCTTCCTCGCCTGTCCATCCAGCTCCCCATCCTCCCTTCTTCCTAATCATTCTCCCTTCCCGCCAGTGTTCCTTCCTTTTACCGAGCCAAACGCCTACCTTTCTGCTCCCCCATCCTTCCCATCCACCCATTCCCCTCCCCTCGCCGTTTCCCTCCCTCCCTCCCCCCTTCCTCCTGTAACTCTCCTTCCCTCCTGTTCATCCGTCCCTTCGGGCAGCCTTCCTTCCCTCTATACTCTCTACCTAAGGACCATCCACCCGCCTTTCCCTCCCCGTCCTCCATCTCTCCATCCTTTGCTCCCTTCCTCTTAAGCGTCCTTCCATCTAACCTCCTCCCCCCCGCCCCCGCCATCCTCTCCATGCTTCTGTTCTTATCTACCCACCTTCCCCTCCTTTCATCCATCAGCCCAGCCAGCTACTTCCCGCCCAGTTCATCTCTTCCTCCTTCCCTGCCATCCCCTCTCTTCCAGACCTGTTTTGCCCTCTCATACTTTGAGGAGCCTAGGCCACAAGTCACAGATCCCAGCTCCCCAAGGCTACGGTCTGAGAACGTATCCTCCCCTCACCAGCCCACCTCACTCTCGATCTGCTGAGGGCCTTGCCTAAGATCAGAAAGATCTAGATTCACATTCCATCTCCACCACTTACTAGCTGTGTCTCCTGGCAAGTTATTGAACTGCTGAGAGTTTTGCTTTATTTATTTAAAAAAAATGAGTTTATAAAAACAAACCTCACAGGTTGTTGTGAAGATCAGAAATAAAATATGTTGGGGAAAAAAGTGCTGCCTTCACTCAATGTTAACACTGATGATTTCTGAATGCCGTTAAGCATGGGAAATGTTTTCCTCTCTATTTTTAACTTCTTTACTTCCTAAATTTCTACACTGTATAGTAATTGCTTTTGCAACTAGAAATTTTTAAAATTGTTTTGTAGAGAGGCTGAATATCAAAGAAAATAGGAATAATTATATAAAGTTCCTGGTGGAGTTCATGACCAAGGTTGTGTTCAGTGGATAATGGGCATCTCTAGCAGGAGGTACGAACTGAGTTGTTGTACAGACTCAGGCTGGTGGGACTCCCCTAACTGCCTGCCATGAAGTCAGGCTGCATGGACATGGGTGGGGGCTCACGGTGGGCTGCCCCAGAGAGCTGCCTTCTGCTTTGGAGAAATGGGAGACGGATGGCTAGGACAGCAGGACCACTTCGCCAAGTTCCTGGAAAAAGAGGTTCCCCCTTGTCCCCTACCCACAGACCTACCTTCAAAAAGGTAATCCAGGTACTCAGACTCTACCCAGGGAGACCTGGCGTGGAGAGATACTGCCTGCACACGCCCCTTGAACTTGTTGTACAGGTCTTGTTTCTCCAGGCACATCAGAGAACACGCCAGCTCTTGGATTCCCAGACACTTTCCCACTTTCCGCCACCGTCTGGGGTTTGAAGAGCTGAGGAGGAGACAGCAGAGCTTGGGTTGCGGACAGCCTCTCGGGTGAGGGGATGCAGAGAACATGTGCTCATGTGTCTCTCCATCCGTCTGTCCAACCAGCCAGCCATCGGCCAAGACAGAACAGGAATAGAGAGACACGCGAGGGAACCTGGTTGTGCCCCTCACTGGCTCTGGGACCTCACGCTGGTGGCGGCTTGGGGAAGGAACAACAAAAGCAAAAGCCTTGCAGCAGGGAAGGAGCTTGAGCTGCACAGGAAGAAGCAAAGAGGCCAGTGTAGCTGAAGCCCGGTGGACAAGGGAGGGCTGGACATGCATGCAGAGAGTCGGTGGCAGACAGAGCCGGGGCAGGGGCTACCCACCTTTTAAAAAAAAATTTTTTTATTAACATATGATTGATATACACTCTTGTGAAGGGTTCACATGAAAAAACAATGTGGTTACTACATTTACCCATATTATCAAGTCCCTACCCATACCCCAGTGCAGTCACTGTCCATCAGTGCCGCAAGATGAGGGGCTACTCTTCTTAAAAGGAGTTTGGATTTTATTCCAAGTGTGATAGGAAGCCAGGAGAAGGTTCTCAATAGGGGCCTGAGGGGATCTAACTTATGTTTTTAAAGATCACTCTGATACAGCAGCAAGGGTTTGAGGTTCAGGAGAGAACATGGGAGATGGCGAGAGTGGTTGCCCCGGGGGTTATTGGGGAGGAAAAGCCAACAGGATATGCTCATGGGTTGGAGGGAGAACATGAGGAGGAGGATCAAGGGCTACTCCTGGGTCTGGGGTCTGAGCAGTGGGTGAGCGAAGAAGGCTTCAATGGAGGAAGGCAAAGAACAGGTCAGGGAAGAATTCCTCTGTCATGTTCTTGGTGGAGTTACACTATGTAAACAATAACCAAAAAGGCTAAAAGGACTGCTGGAGTAGTTATATTAATATGGGACAAAATATTAACTCTAAGGTAATAATAAAAATGAAAAGAATCACCACATACTAGTAATGATTCCATTTACCAGGGAGATATAAAAATTCTAACCTACTAAATAGCTTCACACTACACAACAAAAACAGCCCAAACTACTTCTTATGTTATTTATAATATTAAAATACTAAAAAACTGTTATTATATGAAAGATACACATACACACAAAGAAATAGAAACTCCATGGTTATAATGAGAAATTGTTCGTATGCCTCACTCTGTAAGCCAGGCCCCACTGCTCACATCTGGACGCTTCAGTGCAGGGACCGGGCCAGAATGGGAGGGGCACAGCTTTAGGGTCAGATAGACTTGGGGTTTAATTCTGGCTCCATCACTGGCTTCCTCCAGCAAGACTCTGGGCTCAGTTTCCTCACCTCAAAACTGGGGGGAAGGCAGTGCCCGCCCGGTGTTACTGGGGGAAGAGGTGAAGTACTCATGGAGGCTTTAGCGCCCTGCCAGGTGCAGAGTGGGTTCTGAGTACCCAGCAGCCCCTTCCCATTCCTGCCTCCTCCTCCTCTCCTGTTCTAGACTAACCCTCCTGAACTGTGCTCATCATCTTACTCACCTACTAAAGACCTTCAAATAATCCCCACCTTTGTGCCAAGAAGGCAGGTGTGCTCCCAGCAGCAGTGGCTACCTGGGCTGCCAAGCTGAGAAGGACGCCAAGACTCTGAGCACGCTCTGTGGGGAAAAGGGCGACCATCTAGCGCTACGAAACAACTCGAGCAACTCATCCAGGGCCTCAAGAATTCCATCATCCGGCCTCATCGCTCTCCTGGAGCCCCTCTTCAACTTGCCTCAGAGACCCACCCCAACCCTGGGCAGGCTGGTCACCTGTGCACGTTCTCCCGTCAGTGTCATTCCCACCTCCAGACCTTTACCAAATGCCCTCTCCAAACGCAGGCCACATGCCATCTCCGGTGGGAGGCAGAAAAACCAGGAATGCTGACCGCACTGAACGCAGCTGTCCTAGGGAAGCCCCCGACCCCGCCCACCAGCCTGGTGGGGCCCCTCTACCTTTGATAAGCCACGGAATAGGTGACGTTCTGGGGGTTGCCAGGGCCTGGGAGCCAGGTCAGATACACACTGAAGTTCCGGGAGAGCAGCGACACATTCTGGGGAGGGGCCAGATGGGGTCGCCCTGTGGTGGAGAGAGAGGTCATGGGGCCTGGAGACGAGGGGCATTTGGGGTGGAGGAGGGGCCTGGCAGGCAGTCAGGTGCTCACTGATTTGAGAAGCAGGAGTCATCTGGGGTGGCTGAAGTACAGAGGCCCTGACAAAGGCTGGGAACCCGGGGGTCAGGATTCCAGTTGCAGCTGTGCCACCCATTGGCTGTATAGCAGCCCCTTCCCCTCCTAGGCCTCTGTGGCCTCTTTAAGCATGAATCTCCTGCCCACTCTGGCACCTGACGGTTCCAGTAGAACAACACAGAACAGGAACCATCTAATGGATTCTTGAACTCCAGTGGGAACAGCCCCGAGGGTCTCAAGAAGCAGGGGCTCTGTCCTATTCTCAGCCACGTGCCCAGAGTCTGCCTGCAGGGCCGCGGGCACATTGTAGATGCATAGTCAGTATGTGTCGAGTGAATGAATGAATATTGTGATAACCTGGATTATTCCAAAGGCCTCCTAACTTGTCTCCCTGCTTCCAACCTTGTCCCCTCAATCCCTTCTCCATACAGAGCAAGGGTGAAAGTCAGATCACAGCACTCTCCTGCTTTAAACCCTCTACTGGCTTCCATGTCACTCAAGGCTAAATCCAAAGTCTTCACTGTCATCCACAAAACCCTATGCGATCCCACCCACTGCCCTCCCACTCTCCATCCTTTCCAAGCTACACTGGCCTTTTTGCTGTTCCTGCAGCATGGGAGGTGCACTTCCACATCTAGGCCTTCCTGTGAGCTGTTCCCTCCGTCTAGACTATTCTACCCCTAGATGCCCATCTGGCTCACTCCCTAGCTTCCTTCACATCTCTGTTCAGATGTCACTGCCTCAGGGACACTTTACCTAACCACCTTTAACTGGCCCCTATTGCCCCCTCCTTTGGCACCTCTTCCTTCTCATTGTTAGCTGTCATCTTCTGAAATGCATATCTGATCATACTACTCCCCAGGTTCATGCCCTGCTCAGAATAAAGTCCCTACTCCTTATCGAGGTATGTGAGGATCTACCCAACTTGGCCTGGCCAGGTCATCTGGTTGACTTCTTCCTGACAGCTCCCCCACATGCTCACCAGGCTGCAACCAATCTTCCTTCTTGCAGACCTCAAATCACTGCAGTCTTTGAACCCAGGTGTCCCTGACTGCCTGGTGTTCACCATCTTCTCTTTTAGACTTGATTCAGTTGTCACTTCCTCCACGGAGTCCCCCCTGACATCTCTAAGAAGTGGTGATGTCCCTGCAGCTGTTAATAATAGCACCTACCACATATCAAGCCCTAACTCTCTGCCAGGCACGATGCACATTACCTGCATTTTCTCTTTCAATCTTCCCCACATCCCTAAGAGGTGGGTACTAATTATGATCATCACATCAGATGAGGAAATGGAGGCCCTCTCAGCTAATAAGCTGTAGAATCAGAATTTAAATCCAGGCCTAGCTAACTCCACAGTCGAGTTCTTGACTGCCTGCACTTCCTCCTCTAGGTTCTCATGGCACCTGCTCAGCTTTATTCTCCCAACATCTAGGGACCACTACTGGTCAACAACATCCATTGACCACCGCATGTCTTAAGTTTCAAAGAGGAATACAACTCCATTTCTGCCCTTTAGGAGCTCATGATCCCATAGAGAATTCAGCGCTCTGAAGCATCACATGGGCCTTGGTGAAAATCCACACAGTTACAGAACGGTATCAGGAAGGCAGAAGCCACATCTACCGATGGCCCTCAGCTCTGCTCCCCACCCCTGGCTTTTAGAGCCAGATATGGGGGCTACTTCCAGCCCATCCCATGTCTTCCAGTTGGAGCTGGATCACCAGGTTGCTGATGCTGTCACGCCCAGCTTCTGAACTTTCTAGCAGGTGGCTGGCAGGAGGCTACAGTCTGTCTGCAAGTAGCTTATAAGGTATCCTGTGGGCAGGACAGGTTCAAAGTCTGAGCTTGGCCACAGTGGAGAAATAGAGGCCAAAGTATTTACCCTCTTTTGAACCTTCAAAGGGTGCCAGCCACTGGTTTGGCACTTGATACACAAAACCTCATTCAGTCCTCAGGACAAACCACCCTAGGGGTGGGTATCATTCTCCTTCATGCAGGGACACTGGACTCAGAAACAGAAGGCAAGTAATTTGCCTGAGGCTATACAGCCAGTCTGTAGAGGAGCCAGGATTTGAACCTGGATCTTTATCCTATACCATCACACTAGCTTGTGTGGTGTACATTTCAGTAGCCTTCAGGTAAAGGTACAGCCAGGTCTAGACAGGAAAACTATTGGATTTGGGTTTGACAGTGAAACGGGGGGCAGAGGACCCTCTCCCCTCCCCCCAATAAATACACTGTCTCTTTATCATCTTCAATGACACTCACTGCCTGGGGGCGCCAGAAGCTGGGCATCCCTGAGCTGACCTGGGTCCATGGACAGTCCCTGCCCCAGCTTCCCACTCCACAGCCAAAACCGGTTGTGACTGTTCTGTGTGTCTCACTTCTGCCTTCCTTCTTGGGCAATTCCCTTAATCGCTCTGAGCCTTAGTTTCCCATATGAAAAAGGAGGGAGAAAATAATACCTACCTCATAGGACAGATGGCTGGTGATTTTTAAATAGGATAATGGGGTGCCTAGCACAAAGAAGCTGCTCAATAAATGTTGACTTAATATTAGTAATAGATCGTGCCCAAGGTCCCTTCTAACTCTTACATTGTTAGTCCGAGACTAAGAAGATGGCCTAGGGGCAAATTCTGAACTTCTTCCTGGATAGTTGGGGCTTGGTGGCTGGGACCTATCTGAGAGTATTTGGTACTGTGCCCCGTTTTTACCAGTGAGAGCTCAGTTAAAGATGGCTTGTTATAATGACAGTGGGGCACAGGCTGAACTGAACCCTTCCCTCAGGCCTGGGTAGGGCTCCTGACACCCCCACTCCGGGCGAAGGTGATGGGGAGGGCAGGGCACTTTGGTTGGCTTCCCTTACTAACGAGGGTCAAATGTGATAGTAATGCAGGGGGCAGTGCTTTTAGGAAACCTTAAGAAGCACTTTATAAATAAAGGCCACAGATTTTTAAACTGCCACTTTATTCCTGTTCACCTGAAGCTGACGTGGGATTAGGAAACTGGAGCAGATTCCTCCCGGAAAGGAATTTCAAAGACTGGAATCTGTTTGGTTCGTGGCAGCAGAAAACCGGTGGTGGGTGGGCAGGGCCGACTCGGACACCTGCTCCGGTGGCTGCGGGCAGGCTGCGGCCCCCGTCCCTCCTCCCCGAGCTCAGAGTCCGAGGGCGGGCGCCCCGCCACCCCCAGCCGCCCGCCGCCCCGCGCCCGCCACCCGGCAGCCACCGCCCCGCGCGCCCCGCGGCCTTACGTGGCGCCGACTGCAGCAGGCACAGGAGCAGCGGGGCCCAACGCCCGGCCCCCACCATGTCGCCGCTCCGCCGCGCGCTGGGGCGGGGGTGGAGGTGCGGCCTCCCGACACGGGGGTGGCACGGACGCCGCCTGCAGCCAACGGGAAGCCGAGCGCCGCCCGCCCCGCCCCGCCCCGCCCGCCGGGGCTCCCGGGGCCTCCCCTAGGGCGGCCCCGCCGCCCGCGTGTGTAGCCCCGGCTCGGAAACCACCCCGGGCTCCCGGGTGCCTCCACTTCGCTCTGGTTTGCCCAAAAACCCTCGCTTTGGGCGGGGGACCAGTAAACCCGTGTCTGGGGGAAGGGATGGAGAACTTTGTTAATAACCACAGCTAGCATTTCTGAGTTGGGACTTTTTAACAGGACTGAGAGTTCGGGGCCAGCCTTACAAGTCTCAGACCACTGGGCGCATCCAAGCGTGCTCTGTGTGCCAGGCCCTAAGCCAAGCCCTTTCTACCCATTACGTACCGTACTCCCCGCGAGCATCCTGTGGGCCGGTCCTGTTCCTCTACATTTTTCATGCCGGCGTGGCAGCCTCCAGAATGGAGTGAACTTATTCTGGGAAAGCGGGTCTCTCCCAGGCCAGAGACTGTGTGTGGCGCATTACCAGACACCTGAACAGTAATCACTTCCAAATAATGGAACCAGCCCCATGGCAGAAAGGTCTACAGTCATTAAAAAGGATGTTGCCGAGGGACACGTAGTGACTCCGGGATGTTTACAGGACACTCAGTAGCAGAATAGCAAGTACTGAAACACCGCACCATTTTAAAAAATGTATATCTGTAGGTACTGAGAACAGAAACGTTGTTAACATTGATAACACCAATATGTTATTACCTCTGGGTGGTGAGGATATATTTTCTTGTTTCTTCTTTTTGTTCATGTTTAGTTTCTAAGGTTTTCAGTAGTGAATATGTATTGCTTTTCCCACAAGAAAAGTCACTTTTACTATAAACCTTTTCATGGCTCTCCTTTTTTAAGTGTTATTTTCTGTCCTTCCACAACTCTCAGGGGAGGTATTGCTTCCTCTTTACAGATTCTGAGAACCCACAGAGCGTATGCAGGTGCTGGATTCTGGTTTCAGCCCCATGCCTATCTGATTCCGCAGACACACTGCCTCTGGTTAACTGCTTTGAACAGTCTGTGGGTTTCAGTGACAGGCCAGGTGACTGTCGGTCAGCTGTGGCCATGGCCACGAACAAGGACCTGACAAGTAGCAGAGAAGATCCTGCAGCTGGTCTCTGTCACAGATGCTGGCTCTTGCTTGGATCCCAGCAGTTCTGGGAGACAGAATGTATTTTCACAGAGCTTAGTGGATCCCAAAGTTGCCATGAGAACCCTCCTACATTGCTGATGGGATTGTAAATTGGTACAGCCACTATGGAAGGCAATGTGGAGGTTTCTCAAAAAACTAAAAATAGAAATATCATGCAACCCAGAAGTTCCACATCTTGAAATTTGCCAGAAGAAAGCCAAACACTGATTTGAAAAGATGCATGTACTCCTATGTTTATTGCAGCATTATATACAAGAGCAAGATGTGCAAGTAATGTAAGCACTGATCAATAAATGAATGGATAAAGAAGATGTGGTACA